TGCACATGGACACCGAGATCTTTCTGCTCATCCACACTACCAAGAATCTTACCATTAGCCCAGTACTCTGTATTCCTGTTACTCCTTCCAAAGTGAATCACCTCACACTTTTCCGCATTAAACTCCATTTGCCACCTCTCAGCCCAGCTCTGCAGCTTATCTATGTCCCTCTGTAACCTGCAACATCCTTCCGCACTGTCCACAATTCACCGACTTTGGTGTCATCCGCAAATTTACTAACCCATCCTTCTACGCCCTCATCCAGGTCATTTATAAAAATGACAAACAGCAGTGGCCCCAAAACAGATCCTTGATGTACACCACTAGTAACTGAACTCCAGGATGAACATTTCCCATCAACCACCACCCTCTGTCTTCTTACAGCTAGCCAATTTCTGATCCAAACCGCTAAAACCCTCAATCCCATGCCTCCGTATTTTCTGCAATAGCCTACCATTGGGAACCTTATCAAACGCTTTACTGAAATCCAAATACACCACATCAACCGCTTTACCCTCATCCACCTGTTTGGTCACCTTCTCGAAGAACTCAATAAGGTTTGTGAGGCACGACCTACCCTTCACAAAACCGTGTTGACTATCCCTAATCAAATTATTCCTTTCTAGATGATTATAAATCCTATCTCTTATAATCCTTTCCAACACTTTACCCACAACCGAAGTAAGGCTCACTGGTCTATAATTACCAGGGTTGTCTCTACTCCCCTTCTTGAACAAGGGGACAACATTTGCTAGTCTCCAGTCTTCTGGCACTATTCCTGAAGACAATGACGACATAAAGATCAAAGCCAAAGGCTCTGCAATCTCCTCTCTAGCTTTCCAGAGAATCCTAGGATAAATCCCATCCAGCCCAGGGGACTTATCTATTTTCACACCTTCCAGAATTGCTAACACCTCCTCCTTATGAACCTCAATCCCGTCTAGTCTAATAGACTGTATCTCAGTATTCTCCTCGACTACATTGTCTTTTTCCTGTGTGAATACTGACGAAAAATATTCATTTAGCACCTCTCCTATCTCTTCGGACTCCACGCACAACTTCCCACTACTGTCCTTGACCGGCCCCAATCTTACTCTAGTCATTCTTTTATTCCTGACATACCTATAGAAAGCTTTAGGGTTTTCCTTGATCCTACCTGCTAAAGACTTCTCATGTCCCCTCCTGGCTCTTCTTAGCTCTCTCTTTAGGTCCTTCCTGGCTAACTTGGTTGGTCTTTGAATTATGTGCCTCCTTTTCTTGATCCAGGCACAATTTTGTCTTCTATCTATTCAGGTGAAAGAACTGATATTGCTCGAACTGACATGGAGAGTTCTGTATTTCTCTCTCCCTCTTCTGTCAGATTTAGTACTACATTTTACTGAGTCATACCTGTCACTGTGTTGTTTCTTGTAAAGATTAGCTGTTTACAACTACTACTTTGATCACACTAAAGCTTGTGAATGTTGTAGATATAATATTAGAGTTGCTTGATCTTTATTAAAAAGGAGAGTTAGCAATTGTCTCAATGCAGCTACAACAATTCCTCCTCTTGTTCACTTGCCAAAGGTGTAATATCTTCTGTGAATCTTTCTTCACACTGTTCTTCTGAGAATGCACTTCTTAACTCTTCTAAAGAGCAGTTGTCCTTTTTAACTCATTTTTTTGCCTCCAACTAAAGACCAACAAAAACTAACTTAGGTTTATATGTGCATTTCACAGAGTAAAACATCTGAAGTACTTAACAAGAGTGAAATCAATAAAAAGATTTTTAACATTGAGCATTGGAAGATTTTAAGGATCATCCTAAAAGAAGGGAGACAAGAAAGGTTGAGGGAATTCCAGAGCTCAGAGCTGAGACAGCTGAAAGTAGTGACCATTGTGGAGTGATTAAGATCAAATGTGCACAAGGCCAGTAGTAGATAAATAGAGATCATGAAAACTTGTAGAGAAATGGGTAGGGGGTGAAACCAAGGGTTTTGGAAAAACTGCTGAGGATGTTAGAGCTGACGTATTGTCAATCTGGGAATAGGGATGGTCAGCTAGCTCAGGACTGAAGGAGCAGCAGAGTTTTGGGTGAGCGCATGTTTATATATGGTGGAAAATGGGAGTCTCTCCGGGGGAATTTTGGGGTGGTTGAGTCTTAAAGTCTAAAATGAAGTTTTGGATGAGTGTTTTATCGGAATATGAACTGATGCAGAATCGGAATTGAGTAATACTGCAATGGTGGAAATAGGTAGTCTTGGATGAAGATTAAGATATGTGGTTGGAAACCCACTTTGGGGGCAAACTCAATGCCAAGGTTGTGAATGGTCTTGATCAGTTTATGATAATTGCCAGGAATGTAAATAGCCATCTGGGAATGGATACTGGGCCATTATTCAGTTGAAGAAAATTTCTGCACATCCAATATTGCATGTTGAACAAGCTGTGTCAAATTGGAGACAGTGGAATGGGGCCCAATTGATGGATAGTGATTATCAGTCTGCAACACTTGCACTTAATGGAATACAGATGAGAAGCCTCCAAGGAAGAATGATTATGGTGGGAGACAGTTGTATATCTAATAAGGATTAGGGCATTAAAGGTGGTGAGCAGGGTATGGTTTCAAAGTCAATCTCAGTCAATTTGGTCAAGCAGTTTTTTTCCACTGTGTTATTCTGTACAATCATCAACATTTATGCCTACAAGACTTTAGTTTGTATTAAGATCTCTAATCATGATGGTTTATTTCCCATTTTCCTCAAAATGGATGCTTTTGTATGAAACAATCCCATGTCCTTTTCATTGCTTACATAATCCTAGTCAACCTTTCAATGTATTTTGAAATATAGAAATAGAAGTGTACAAGTCACAAAAAAAACAACCATTGCAATCCATACAGCTACTTCCAGTTAGTGGACAATAGCTTATTCTGTGGTACTTGTTTTCCCACATTCTGCTAACCTTTTTCCAAATTCATTTTCAAGAATGTCATGGCCGTCATTAGGTACCTTGAAAAAGTGAGGCTGGATCTTCTAGTTGATGAAACAGTTGCCACAATCAACTTAATTTCTTTGTGCCCATTCAGTCCTTGAGAAAGATAAACCCTTTTAGTTAATCATCTGTTACCTGTTTTGGTGTTTGTTTCAGTTGCAGATGAGCAATAAATACACTTTTGCCAACATCTTCCCCAACTTGAGATGGAATTGATGCTGCTATAGCCAGGTCTTCTTTGAACTTTATATTCTTCCTTTCTCTTTGGCCGAAAACACTATTCAACACGCTCCTTTTCTTCCTATGTCCCCCACAGTCCTAAAATTGTGATGCCGCACTTAATTCATCTCACTGTTTCCTGGTACTTCAGGACTATGAAAGCTCTTGGCCTTATTCCCAATGTATTTTTTAATATGGTTGGCTATATAAAAATTTTCAGAAGCAGATCAACACTCCCATAAATTATAACTTGCATCTTTATTTGACTGTACAAATATTCTCGAGATGAGCATTCAGTTTTTGTCACAGTTACCATGTCCCTGATCTTTCCTTCTATCTGCAACTTTTAACCTTCTAAAGGCTGATTTGCTGCATATGTTCTTCTCAACCTTAACATCAACAGCCAAATGAAAATGCTGTTCAATTTTCTGCCTTTCTTTCAAAGCAAACAATAATTGTAAAATGCTTCATGATGTCCTGACATGGGTGGAAAGCGTTTTGTAACTACTAGTTCTTTTTTTATGGATCTGAAAAATGTCTCATAAGACAATACATGGCAATGGTTCCTCTTAAGCAAGACTTTCATTTTATTTAAAAATTAGCAGAGAATGCTAGAAATATCAGATAAATTATATGAATCAATTTCAATTAATAGGCCACGGCTCAAATGGAAGAGAACCTCCAGGAATTCATTACATCCAGTGCACCTGAAAATGTGCTGCCTCTCGCAGATGGCGTTCTCAGCTTTATCCACCATCAAGTTATTGAATTGGGTAGGGACTGCCTGGCAAAATCCCGAGATGGGCTCATTACTTCCAGATACTTTTTTGAGCTGCAAGAGAACCTCGAGAAGCTACTGCAAGATGTAAGTCTTTTTTTTGTTTTAATTTACTGATATGACCACGTTATAACTTTAACAAGGCTGAAATGAGCTCATAAGATGGATACAGAACTGGCAGACCATAGAAGACAGTAGTGATGGAAAGATGTTTTTCTGATTGAAGGTCTGTGTCCACTAGTGTTCCGCAAGGATCAGTGCTGGGACCTCCATTGCTTGTAATATAAATGACTCGGTGGAGAATGTAGGTGGCCTGGCTAGTAAGTTTGCGAATGATACAAAGAATGGGAAAGCTGTAGATAATGAGGAGGATTGCCAGAGGATTGAGCAAGATTTTGATTAGCTGGAGACTTGGGCTGAGAAATGGCAAATGGAATTTAAACTGGCCACATGTGAAGTGCTACATTTTGGAAGGTCCCATGCAGGAGGGAAGGATACAGTACATGACAGAGCCCTTAGAACCATTAAGATACAGAGGGATCTAGGTATACAGGTCCACAATTCCCTAAGAGCGGCAGCATAAGTGGATAAGGTGGTCAAGAAGGCATATGACATGCTTGCCTTCACCGGTCTGGGCACAGAATATAAAAATTGTCAAGTCATGTTGCAGCTGACAAGAACTTCAGTTGGGTCACATTTGGAATATTGTGTACAGTTCCGGTTACCATACTACCAGAAGGAAGTGGAAGCTTTGGAGAGGGTACAGAAATGGTTTACCAGGAGGTTGCCAGGTTTGGAGGGTATTAGCTATGAAGAGAGATTGGACAAACTTGGTTTGTTTTCACTTGGATGTCGGAGGCTGCGGGGGCCAACCTGATAGAAGTTTACAAAATTAAGAGAAGCATGGATAGAATAGATAATTGGAGTCTTTTTCCTGGGGTAGAAATGTCAATTAATAAGGAACATAGGGTTTACATAGGCTTAAGTTAAATGGCTTAGGGTGGGTGGATTCAATAGCAATGTTTAAAAGGCATCTTGACAGATACATGAATAGGCAGGGAACAGAGGGATAAAGGAGCATGTAGAGGCAAAAGGTCTTTAGTTTTGAAAGGCATTATGTGTTGACGTAGGCTTGGTGGGCTGAAGTGTGCTGTTGTGCTGTTTTGTTCATTTTTCTTTGTTATATGTTAATATCAAGTCACATTAAAACTTTTCCTCAATCACCAAGAACTAAATATTATTCGAGTCAAACTACAAAGCACTCCTGCAAATGTAAATAAATAGAAAGAAACATAAAATGCTGGGAATCTGAAAGAAGAATACATTATTCCTAACCAAAATTTTCCATTGGCTTTTCCCTTTGTAGATGCTATGTAATTTCTAGAAATCTTTGTTCTTGCTGCAGATGCAAGCTAATTTTGAAATTTCAACTTTGTAAATAAAATGCTAATTTCACACTGCCTAGTTTTTGCTGAAAATTGGAAATGACCACTTTGCATGCTCCCATCCCTCATGCCAATGTTGCATACAGTGGTGGAGGCCAACTTGCATTTAGACAAATGTTACTGTTGCTTGTGTGCAAGCCATTTCGGTAAGGCAGTAACTAAAGTCGCGATCAACAAATCTGTAACAATTGTGCTGATTATGGGAGACAGCTAATGACATTTAATACAGTGCATCAGAAGACAAAAAGAACAATATGCAGTTCTTTCAATAACTATGTATGTATTAACATTATCTGTATTCTGCATGTGATCTCTAAAAGTGATAGTTACTGTGGGTGCTGGTTGATCTAGCCTTCATGAACTGTGATTTGAGCTATGAATTAATACTCAGGTTCCGGAATGAAATGCAAATTCACCATTCAAGATGTTAAACCAGTAAGACAAGGGCAGCACTAAATTTTGACAATTTATGCTTATCAAAAGCCAATATCTTCAACAGTGTACAGCACAATTTGACATATGTTCATTTTGGCGATCTGTTGTCTTCAATTCTATAAACAGCAGTAGGATCTACTTTCACGGTTAAGCTGCTGTCTCCAACTGAAATGACCTGAGTATAAAACTAGCGTATTTCTCAACTGTAATCTTGCTTTAAATCTCCTTGGATTGCTACTAGAATTGCTTTGACGTAATGAGTTTCTCTGCAAATCTTACCTTTGAATTGGTAATCATATTTAACTTCTAGTCTTCCTTGTAATAGTTTCTGTCCAAAGCTTTTACTAGGCAATTTAAAGTTTGGAGTACAAAATTATGACGTAGTAAAAGTGTTACAGTTACCTATGATTTGATATTATAATGAAAGCTTGAAAGTTTGAAACTTACATGAAATAAATCTCAAAGAAATTAGCTAAACCAAACAATCATTGTTTTTCAACCAGAATCCAAAATACACCTGGGAACAATATCAATGGGCTGAAGCAGTTTATACTGAATAAGTGTCCAGAGGCTGATGTAATGCTCTGCGATAGCCCTTTAACACAAGAAGACCATGGTATTATTGTTTGCATCGAAGTATCGAGTCTAACTGTATCAAAGATGTTGCTGTACAGTTTGATAGATGTTGAATCATATGATTATGATTTCTAACAGTATGCATCTACTGGACACTAGATGTGTGTTACAGTGTATAATGTCACTGATTGTATTATGTATTATTTCACAGGGCAAAAGGTTATCTTGCAATATACCCTAATTTTTACCTGCATGTATTATACAATAGATAAGAGATAGAGAATATGAAACTGTGAAGATTTTTCAGAGTTTGTGGTCTGGTCAGCAACACCCTGGATTTATATAGTGGCTTTACCATATTAGAATATCAGTGCTTCTCAGGAGCATTATCAGACAAAAAGTCAGGGACTTACAAGAGCCCAGAATTGGAGGAAGGCAGGGTCCTCTGGGGAATTTAGGACTGGACAAGATAATAGAGCGAGGAAGAGTGGAGATCACAGGAATGTTTGAACACTGCAAGGAGTATTTTAAAAACAGGACATTGTTGGATAGCAGTTGGTGGAGGTCATTGTGAGATGACAAAATGGAACTTGGTGTGAATTAGGATATGCACAGCACAGTGTAGATGAGATTAAATTTATGGAGAACGAAAAATAGGAGGCCACCTGTGTGAGCATTAAAAGAGTGAAGTTTAGTTTAACAAAAAGTTGAATTGGGATTTCAGCAGCATGTGGGCTGAGATAGTGGCAACCCTGGCAGTGTTCCAGAGCTGGACGTAAGTGATATGGATCAGAGTGTCAGCTCTGGTGTGAATAGAACACTGACATTGAGAATGGGCTGTTTCAGCCTAAGGTGACTAATAAAATTTGTGGTTAGGAGGGCTTAAGACAATAGTCTTCCCACTGTTTAATTGGAAGAAATTTTTGACTTATCCAGGACTGGATGTCAATAGGCAAACTGACAGCGGGTGAGATAGAACTGGGTGTCATCAGTATATATTTGGAATCTGATATGTTTTTGGTTGATGCTTCTGTTAGGCAGCACGCAGGTGAGAAATAAACAAGGTCAAGAGTAGACCCTTGGGGCACTTCAGACATAATTATACCTTGGTAGGAAGAGAACCTTCTTCTAAACATCAGTGCCCAGCTTTTCATACACTGAGTACATAATTAGAGTCTAAGTCATGCATTAAAGATATAATTTCATTATTTACATCTCTAATGATGCTTTTCAGGTTAAGAGAAAATACAGAGACCCTATTACATGTCAAGAATCTCAGCAAATCCACCCTTTACAGTCAAAAACGAGTGTTAAGGGCTTAGATGGGGAGGAATTTGTTATGTGTGTACAAGAAAACTTTCTTATTCAATATGTGGATGTACCTTCTAGAGAAGGAGCAATATTTGACCTTTTTGGAAATAAAGCAGGGCAAGTGGCTGAGGTGTTGGTGGAGGAGCACTTTGGGGCAAGTGATCATAATTCTGTTAGTTATAAGTAGTTATGGAAAAAGATAGAGCTGATCAAAAAGTTAAGTTCTAAATTGGGGTAGGACCAATTTTGACAGTATTAGACAAAAACTTTCAAAAGTTGATTGGGGAGGCTGTTTGCAGGTAAAAGGATGGTTGGGAACTGGGGGGATCTTTAAAGATGAGATAAGGAGAGTTCAGAGACAGTATGTTACTGTTAATGCAAAAAGCAAGGTTGGTATGTGTATGGAATGCTGGATGACTAGAGAAATTGAGGCTTTGTTCAAGAAATAGGAAGAGGCATGTGTCAGGTATAGACAACTGGGATCAAGGGAATCCCTAGAAGAATATAAGGGCAGTAGGAGTATAGTTAAGAGGGAAATCGGGAGGGCAAAAAGGGGACATGAGATAGCTTTGGCAAATAGGGTTAAGGAAAATCCAAAGAGATTCTACAAATATATTAAGGGCAAAAGGGTAACTAGGGAGAGAATAGGGCCCCTTAAAGATCAGCAAGGTCTTCTCTATGTGTGGAGCTGGTTAGTAACTTTGCAGATCACATCAAAATAGATGGTGTAATGGACAATGAAGATTATCCCGGAGTACAACAGGACCTTGATAAGATGCGCCAATAGGCTGAGGAGTGGCAGATGGAGTTTAATTTAGATAAATGTGAGGTGTTACATTTTGGTAAGGCAAACCAGGGCAGGATTTGTACAATAAATGGTAGGGCCTTGGGGAGTGTTGCCAAACAAAGAGAGCTAGCAGTACAGGTGCGTAGCTCCTTGAAAGTGGATTCACAGTTAGACAGGGTGGTGAAAAAGGCATTTGGCACACGTATATTTGTTGGTCAGAACAGGGAGTTGGGGGGTCATGCTGCAGGTCTATGGACATTGGTGAGGCCACTTTTAGAATACTGCATACAATTCTGGTCTCCCTTCTACAGGAAAGATGTTGTTAAACTTGAAAGGGTGCAGAAGAGATTTGCAATTGATGTTGCTGGGACTGGAGGGTTTGAGCTATTGGAAAAGGTTGAATTGGCTGGAGTTTTATTCCCTGGAGTGTCAGAGGCTGAGGGGTGACCTTACAGTGGTTACATGATTATAAAATCATGAGGATCATGGATAGGGTGAATAGCGAAGGTATTTTTTCTAAGGTGGGGGAGTCCAAAAATAGGGGGCATCAATTTAAGGTGAAGGGGAAAGATTTAGAACAGTACAGGACCTGAGTGATAACTTTTTCACAGAGAGGCTGGTGCATGTATGGAATGAGCTGCCAGAGGAAGTGGTGGAAACGGGTACAATTACAACATTCAAAAGACACCTGGATGGGTATATAAATAGGAAGGGTTTAGAGGGATATGGGCCAAATGCTGGCAAATGGCACTAGGTCGTATTCGGATGTTTGGTCGGTGCAGACAATTTGGAATGAAGGGTCTGTTTCCAAGTCGTATGACTCTGACACTATAAATTCAGAAACAAGATTTGCTTTTGAATTAATTTAGTCATCATTTTGAATAGCATTCCTTATTAATACTTTGTTGGTGTTTAATTTTGCTGCTGTGATTTATCAGATATCCTGGTATGGAAAAAAACTAAATATTAATTTGAAAGTGAAAAATACATATAGATTTTAATAGCCAGCAAGAGTAAAAAGTGGAAGTTTTATTGAACTATTAAAAGAAAACAAAGCAGAACCTTCTTTTCAAAGATAAAAGATGTGTTTTGTGCTTTTCCCACCTTTGAAACACATTATTATTGCTTTCGATCTGCCTGTTTTAAGTCTGTTTAAGATGGAACACAATAAGGACCTGGAGGGGAGGGGGAATGGTGGGTCATTTTAATTTCGTGCTCCAGTGATCACTGGTCGTGACGGATGGTCTTTCAGACAGAGTATGACTTAACTTGGTAAATTGTTCTGCTGATTATGTCATTGGGATTCACTGTGTATAGGAATGACATAGGCATTCCTCAGACAAGCATGACATCAACTTCAGATGCTAATGATTCTGTGCTGCTTAATATGCAGACTTGAATGAGGTTTTGATATGTAATCCAGCATGTTTCAATAGGGACTTAGTCAGTGTCAAAACAACATGTCCAGATTGTCTTTTCAGCAAGATAATATCTTGCTGCGAACTTTTGAGATTCAGAGATTTGCACGGTTTTTGACCAACACAGTGTTACCAGTTGAGTCCCATTGTTCTTTCTCACTAAAGGTTTTATTTTGAGACAGACTGCATTGTATGGTGTGTGTATGAATAGCAAAGTTTATTGTTACAGTGTTAAGATTTGTGCTAGCTTAGTACATCTTTTGTTGAAATGTTAATGTGACTTTTATTTTACAGGCTCATGAACGGTCAGAGAGTTCGGAGGTAACATTTGTGACCCAACTGGTAAAGAAGCTGATGATCATTATTGCACGGCCAGCGCGACTGCTTGAATGTCTGGTGAGAGTGACCTCTCATGTACTTATTACTTGAATGTCCATCAATAGAATATTAATGCCAATTGAAGCAGCAAGGTTAATGAGTGTTCAAGGTCAACCAGATCACTACAGTCAAAAACAGAAATTAGTGGAAAAAATCAGCAGGCCTGGCACCATCTGTGAGGTGAAATCAGAGTTAATGTTTCAGGTGCAATGACCCTTTCTCAGATCATTATAATCTTTGTTCTATATTTTTGTGTTTAAATTTTGTCTTGTGAAATAGTACAGGCAGAAAAGGTTGGTTTAAAGTTAATGTAACCGTCCTCTAAACGTGTGATTAGGTGATATTTGAATGCAGATTGCTTTAATATAGTATGAAATGTACCAGGCTTCCAACTTGCTAAGCTTTCCTTAGCAGCTCTTGAATCAAATCTGCATTTGTTATAAATGAGTGTGTCACAGAACACTGCAGCAATATATGTTACATTGATCTGCCCCAAAGAAGCAATTCTTACTGTCTTGCAAATATATTTGCAGATATGAGTGAGCACATGAATTCAAAATGAATGTGTTATATTCGGCTAGTGGTGTTTGAGGTTTTTGGTAGTGGGGCTTTCAAATGAGTAAAGTTTAAAAAGAAGAATGACATTATTAACAGAAGGAATATCAAAGATGTAAGTGCTCCATCTATCAGTGCTTCACCAGTGAGCCCAAAATTAAAATTTTGGTCGAGTATTTGATCATGCATCAGCCTAAATGTTTGTATCAGATAAATGATTGTCATTCTTAGATAATTAATGGCCAAGTACATTAATCAGCTTACATTGGTAGCTTGTTAATTTGATTGCTCAATTGGCTGTGCTTTGTATTTTTTTGTTCATTAAAAAGAGCAGAAGTGTGACCACTCGAAGTAATTGTTAGCTTGTAATTTACTGGCTGTAAAGGAATGAATGCGTGGAGATATGTAAATTATCTTTTAAAAAATTTTATTCCAAAACATTTCAAAAGCACAAATAATCTTTGGAAATTATTGAGTTTCTACATTAAACCTTTTAATTTATTTAAGAGTACACTTTACCAACTACTGCTTAAAAATTAAGATGGATGCAGATTTTAAAAGGTTAGATAGACCAGTCATTGAAAGCGTTAAACAGATTACTTGATCAGAAAAGAACTATAGTGAAAGCAGGAATAGAGTACTGAGTTGGAAGATCAGCCATGATCATCTTGAATAGTGGAGCAGGTTCAGAGGGCAAATGGCCTACTGCTGTTTCTATTTGACTATATATCTACGAAAGACCAGAGAGATTAATCATGTATTTTTTTAAACTGCAATCTCCTTTTAATGATATTGAACCACTTATTTGAATAAATATGCTTTACTGTTCATGGGCTGCAGTAATATTTTTGAAAGCCTTTTTGAATCAATGATATTTCATAATTTATTGAGGATTTTTGGGCATTCTGTCCATATTCCTGCTTAAAAGAAACAAATTATAATGGTTGTACAAAAACAGAAGTTGCTGGAAAAGCTCAGCAGCTCTGGCAGCATCTGTGAAGAAACAAATCAGAGTTAACGTTTGGGGTCTGGTGACCCTTCCTCAGAACCCTTCCTCTGATTTTTTTCTTCACAGATGCTGCCAAACCTGCTGAGATTTTCCAGCAACTTCTGTTTTTGTTCCTGATTTACAGCATCTGTAGTTCTTTATCATTTTTTATATAATGGTTGTACCTTGTGGATGGTGGACAGTTTAAGTCAGGAGGTGAGTTAATTCTTGCAGAATTCCCAGTCACTGATTTGCTGTAGTAGATTTCTGGTCCAGTTAAGTTTCTTGTCAGTGGTACTCTCCAAATGTTTATGTTGGGGTTTCAGCTATGGCAGTGCCATTGAATGCAAAGGATGCAAGGTTAGATTCTCTTTTGTTGGAAATGGTCATTGCCTGACACTTGCATGGCACAAATGTCGATTGCTACTTACTAGTCGAAGCCTAAATGTTGACCAAGTCTTGCTGCATATAGGCATGTATCTGAAAAGTTGGATTTGATATTGAACACAGTTGTCAACAAACATTTCCACTTTTGACTTTTCAATGGAAGAAGGTGTTTGACTTTGTTTTCTCACTTCTGTCTGCTTTAGTTCACTCCAGTTATTAAATCTGGGAAAATAATTCTACCTTGGTGTGTCTCTTTTCAGATGCAAAAAAATTACCACTTTTTGCAGCCAATAGAATCAAAAAGTATTGGTTTCACCAAAGGTTAATGTTTATGTTTTGAAGTTTGCCATCAAGGATTGCGTCTATTCCAACGTTCCATTGCCATGTTTTGTATCTGGATGTCTAGACTATATTTAAACTAACAGGACTTCTTCATCATGACACAACTCACCATAAAATATTTGTGTTTTCACTAGCACCTCAAGCACAGGTTGGGCATTGTACCTAGTCGCATCAATGCAGATTGAGGTGTTCAACTATAACCAGTTACATCTCGGCATCTTCGTTCTAGCCAGTAATACTCTGACTTGATGATCTTCTGTTACCATGAATTCTTACTAAATGTATTCCAGCAGCTATCTGCAGATTCAATATGATGGAAAGATCTTCTGCAGGCAATTTGCCATTTTTCACTTATTCAGATGCCATACCAATCTTAGGTCAGTGCTGTGTACTATGTTTACCAGCTGTGTAATACAGGTCACTTTGAACGGCTATGTTCCCTTACAGCATGCTCAACAACAGATCACTGTAGAAAGGAACACTTCCATGCAAGAAGCCTCAGGACCGCAGGCCCCTCGGAAATGTCTGCAACTTTGAGTTAGAGTTGAACTTCAGACCGTTCCAGTGTCCTTTCATGGATAGTAGTTACCCAGTCAATATTTTTAGAAAGATCCTCATATAACTCCTGGATAACGACATAACTGGTGCCCAATGATTTTCACTGACTCCTTTGACCTCCCGATTATATTCCCCCTCATTAGCCCTCCTGACTCAACTGTCCCTGCAACCCAACTTGATGACCTGCCACGGCCCAGCTATTCTCCAAACTGACACAGCCTGACTATCCCCCAACCTGATATGACAAACTCCCACTACCTGACTAAGCTTCTGACCAGAATTGACTTTGTCTCATCACCTGACGAAGGGGCTACGCTCCAAAACCTTGTGATTTCAAATAAACTTGTTGGACTATAACCTGGTGTCGTGTGACTTCAGACTGCCTGGTTCTGTATGAGGGATGTTGGAAAGATAGTGGCAAGCTTCAGACAGCTAAGAGAAGTGTTACCCAAAATGAAATAGATTGTCATCGTTTATATTTGATTTGTTCGTTGGAACTATAGATTTCTGTAAATGATGTTCAGCTGCTATTGTGTGCTGCAAGATTTTCTCTGAAGTTGTATCACATGATGGGACAGGGAAACTTTGAATGAGACAGAAATCAGCTATTGTCATGATCACGTGATTGACGTAAGGGAAATATCTTACTCAGAAACTGTACTTCTTATGATTCTTTCTCACTATTTAATGATGGATGTCAATTATGCAATGATATGCGATCAATTCTGAAGAAAAACCATTTTAGAGTCAAAGCATTCATTCTGATTTTATGTCCATAGAAGCTGCTAGACTTGAGGTTTTCTAGCACTTTGTTTTTATTTAATATGGTTTAAATTTCTCCATTATGATGATGATGACATTTCTTGCACGGGTGTCCGAACACAGATGATGAATTTTAGAAGGCCTTATACTGAACACAATGGTTTGTCAAAAATTCGTTTGAACAGTCCTGTTTATTGTAGAAAGTACTTATCATAAATTCTTACTTAAAAAGCCCTGCTGAACCTATACAGGGAATTGACAAGATAAGAGTAATATCCGAAACGTTGACTGCTCCTTTCCTCAAGATGCTGCCTGGCTTGGTGTGTTTTTCCAGCTTCCTGTTTGCCTACCTTGGATTCCAGCATCTGCAGTTTTTTTTGTCTCTAAGCAAGATAATGCCAAATACCTGCTGCATATCATAATAGCTTGTATATTCTCAGAATAATAAAATTGCACGATACACAGAGAGTCTCTAGCTTCCATTTTCTGCCACTGGTCCTAACACACAGTCTACACTTTATTAAATGTATTAATTGCCTTGTGTTTACGAGAACTAACAAACTGCGATAGATTTGAATTGTTCAGGGTCATAGTTCATGGTTCTGTGAGATCAAAAAAATGTAACAGGCACGTTACCAACATAGTCATATCTTCTTCCTGTTAACACTCGGGTTCTCTATGGAGTTCACTATTTTAAAATAGGCATAATTAAGCACATCTTCAAGTTGAACAGCATATAAATGCTGAAGCTTACTTTTGGTGTACACTGCATTAATGAAAGCCGAATGGTTTCTATTGAAATTTACTCAGGCCAGTAATTCCAGCAATCTGCAGTATTCTTGTAGAAAACACAGTAAGCCTGAATGTATGTGGCACGCTGCACCACATTTACTGAAATGAATGGCCTGGACTTTCTGATGATCAGATAGTTATTTCTGCAAAAGAGATGGGAGTTGTGTGTCCTGTGGAATCCCAATGTATTATGCTCCAACACATTTGCCCAGAATATTGAAGATTCCGATGATCAATTCTTCTTCTCCTAGAACCATTTGAAAGTATGCAGTTAAATTGGAGAATGGGAGAGTTTTGCTGCAGTTAATAATTGCCAAGAAAAGTTAGACCATTAAAAACCTAGCGTAACTCCTTGGCAACTGTTAACACCTCAACTTGCCACAGGCAGCCCCAATGACACTTCTCCCACAGAAAGACTGCTTACACCCCCTGGGACCTTACCTGATAGCAGCCCGATGCTGCTCCCTGCCCAAGAACAGACACACACCTCCATTTGTTCAGGACTCGGCATCCCCTCCTCCTCTTCCCCTCCTTGGCTGGCTGGAGTCAACATTCCTCCCCCACTGCTGTTGGCATTTCCGGCTTTCCCAGAGAAATAGTTGATGTAAACTGTAGATCCGAGAGTAAATGTTTTCTTCAGGATTTCATATTTATGTGGACATTTTTTGACATTTAAAGTAGATTAAGTTGTGACGGTACAAAACAAAAATACAAACCATTTACTTTAATCATGTTTGCAACTGAAGTAGTTAGGTTTTTGCCTTGAATGCTTAATTTACACACTATGGCATCAAATGGTACAACACTGCAGATGCTGGTAGGGTTTCTGTTCTTAAAAATGTTTGAGGAAAATGCTGAAAAATAAGGAAAGAAAACAAAGAGTGCTATGATGACATCATTTACCATCTATATTTGATTCAAATTGAAATGTTGAAAGAGATGGGTTTTGTGTTTGCAGGAGTTTGATCCTGAGGAATTCTATCATTTGTTGGAAGCAGCTGAAGGCCATGCCAAAGAAGGGCAAGGAATCAAGACTGATATTCCCCGTTACATCATCAGTCAGCTGGGGCTCACCAGGGATCCCTTGGAGGGTAGGGGATTTTACAGAAGATACAAAAATACTGATCGAGCAAAACCAGCTTTCTTGCAGAAGGTCTGGAGTTCATCAATTAAAATGCTAGTTAGAACATTTTTTGGACTGAAAGTGGTTGACAGTAAGAATGGATTAAAATCAAATATGGTGCTATTAATATTTGCATACAAATTTAAGTTAATAAGAGTGTGCAAAATACAAAACCCGTGTTGAATTTAGTTGATGTTGCTTAGGCTGTCTCAGCAGCAGTCTTTCTACGTTTGAAAAGTTCATATTCTGGCTATTTATGTAAAACAACATCTTATCTCAAAATGTTCAGTTTGTTACTTCTACTATTTTATCCTGACCTTTTTTTATACTTTTGTATCTTTTATCTTCATAACCTCCCTAATATTTTGGTTCTGCCAATAATTAGTTGTTTTCTCTTCATTTCTGAGGGGTGAAAACGTGAGATTGTTTCAGAGGTGCGAATGTCCATGAAGAAAGCCTTTTAACTGTAAAATAATACATTCACTTGCTCTTTGGATATTGTAATAAATCTATCCCCATGAAATTCTTTTCTTTCACTGGAAGGAGGCAAGCACAATCTAAGCATTGAAGCACAATGAAAGTATCTCACAGTTTTGTCCAATATTCCCAACAAATCTAGAAACCATGCAAGGGTTACATTTATTCTTGCTATCGACACTAAAGTTGGTCTTAGCTAAGTGATATTTGAATAATTAGGTAAATTCTGGGAATTTCTTTCCCAAAATCTGTAATCTTCAGAAATTGTTTTAAATTTGACAGTTATAAATTAGTATTAATTCCGTTGAAGTACAAGTATCAATCTTAGCTCTTCACTTTATGAAGATTTAAGAGTAATAACAGAAATATTGAATGCTACATATTTGAAGTCATTTTGGGTAAAGTTATTTACTTTTATATGTTATCAGGGAACTTTGGATAAAATAGTTATATAAAGGAATTTCATTTTAGACAGTAATCATAGTCATAGAGTCGTACAGCATCGAAACAGACTTAGAACATAAGACAAAAGAATAGGTATACATGCTGGGAAACTGGAATTGCCTGTTAACTGAGCTGGCCTGTCCAAGTATTGCATCCGTCTTTACTCTTTTAAATCTTACCATTAGGATTCATTCAAATGCTTATTATATTGTAGCACCATAATATTTTACTGTTAAATGTGGATTTCTGACTTTAAAATTTTAACACTGAGTTTTCATAGGAATATGTACAGTTTTAGGATCATCCAGTTGTGCTGTATTTTCTGCTTTCCTTCTGCAAATAATGTATTGCCTCTACCTTGTTTAAATAGAAATGGCCCAGCTGACAAGCTATGATAGTGGCAATCCAGAGGCCCCAGAAACTGATGATTCCACTGATGTGAGTATTGGTGGTCAAAACCAAAAGACTGACTATTGTTTTGAACAAGTTATCTCAATATGTACCCACTTGCCCACCAGCGCGCTTCATAAAAGTTTACAATATCTGAGTCCATTACTGGCATTACTGGACAGTTGTGTGCAGCATTCTGAATGAGGTAAACTCATCTAAATAAGTTGCTAACTGGACTAATCGCTTTCTTTTCATATAATAACTTGTATTTATGTAGCACGTTTAGGATAATGTCATATTCCAGGAGTGTTTGCCAACAGAATTTGACACCGAACCCATTAGGAGATTTTAAGGTAGATGACCAAAAGCTTCATCAAAAAGCTTGGCTTTTTCAGCAGGAAGAAGAGGCAAAGTAATTTAGGGAGGGAGTTCCAGAGCTTATAGCCCTGGCAGCTGAAGGCACAGCCATAAGTGGTTGAGTCAATTAATTTGGGGGTGCTGAAAATGTGAGAATTGGATAAGTGCAGATATCTTGAAGAGTTGTAGTCTGGAAGAAATGACAGGATAGGGAGAAGCAAGCCCATGAAGGAATTTGAAAATAAGTTGAGAATTTAAAATTGAGGCATTGGTGAACTAGGAACCAGTTTTAGCTAGCAAACACAAGGATGATGGGTGAATGGGGCTTGGTATGAGTTAGTGCACAGGTGGCAGATTTATTAAAGCTGAAAGACGGGAGGGCCATCGGGCACGTTGAGATATTTAGGCCTAGAGGTAACCATGTCATAGAGGAGGGTTTCACAGAGATAGGAGGGTAACTACAGAAAGATAGGATTTACATGCGTTTGGAGAGGCAAGGACTTATTAGGGATGGTCAGCATGATTTTGTGTAAGAGAAGTCATGTTTCAAAAACTTGCTTACATTTTTTTGATGAGGTAATGAAAAAGATTGATGAGGGCAGAGTGGTAGACGTTGTAGTAAAGCCTTTGACAAAATTTCTCTTGGTAGACTAATCAATAAATTTAGATCATATGGGATTCGGGGTGATCTTGCCAATTGGATACAAAATTGGCTTGACAGTAGGAGACAGAGGGTGGTGGTGGAGGTTATTTCTTGGACTGAGGGCTGTGTCCGGTTCTGGGTCCACTTTTGTTGGTTATTTTATGTACAACTTGAATGAGAATATAGGAGGCATGTTTAATAAGTTTGCAGACGACACCAAAATTGGTAATATAATGGAGAGTGAAGAAGGTTATTTAAAGTTACAAAGAGATCTTGGTCAATTCAGTCAATGGGATGAGGAATGACAGATGGAATTTAATTTGGATAAATGTGAGGTATTGCATTTTGTTGAAACAATCAAGTGCAGGACTTGTACAATTAATGGTAGGGCCCTGGTCAGCGTTGTAGAACAGAGAGATCTAGAGGTTCAGGTGCATAATTCTTTGAAATTTGCGTCACAGGTAGACAGGATGGTTAAGAAGGCAGTTAGCATGCTTGCCTTCATTACTCAGACCTTTTAGTGTAGGACTTGGGACGTCATGTTGAGGTTGTACAGAATGTTGGTGAGGCCTGTTTTGGAGTACGGTGTGCATTTTTGGTTGCCCTGGATAAGGATATTATTAAATTGGAAAGGGTTCAGGAAAGATTTACTAGGATGTTGCCAGGAACAAAGGGTTTGCGGTATAAAAATAGGCTGGATGGGCTAACCTAGGAGGTTGAAGAGTGACGTTATAAAGGTTTATAAAATTGTGTGGGGCATAGATAAGGTGAATAGTAAGGGTCTTTTCCATAGGGTGGAGGCGTTCAAAACTAGGGGGCATACTTTTAAGATGAGAGGAGCAAGTTTTAAAAAGGACATGTGGGGCAATTTTTTTACACAGCATGGTTCGTGTGTGGAATGAACCGTCAGAGAAAGTGGTGGATGCAGGTAAAGTTACACCATTTGAAAGACATTTGGATAAGTATGTGAATAGGAAAGGTCTGGAGGGATATGGGCCAAATGCAGGCAAGTGGGACTAGTTCAGTTTGGAAACATGGTCAATGTGGACTAGTTGGACAGAAGGGTCTGTTTCCATGCTGTGTGACTCTATGACTGTAAGTTGTGGCATTATCTTCGCATTCCAGACAGAAACAGAACCCTTTGGTACTTACTATAATCTAGCTACATGTGCTAATGGGAAACTTAACCAGCTGTCTGCCATATCTGCTCAAGTTAGTGATAGGCCCCTTAATTGCATCATTAGGCTACCTGCTGCTTGCTGGTAGATAGTTGAACTGATGATCCAGGCTCCTTGAAATTGGTCTAGAGACAGGAAGATGCCAAAAAACCTGCAAGCTACTCTCCCACATTGATTTTTTTTTTTTTTTACCCAGCATGCTCTCCATAGACATTTGTGAATCCAACCCCAATTGTGCCATGGTTAAGTATTATGGTCTGCTAAACAGCTGAAAAGTTAAACATTTGGCAAGAAAATTAAAAAGATATTTTCAGATTTAAATCTCTGAATAACATACAGGTGTCTCATAGAATTATTGTTCAGTCTCAGTTAAGAACTTGTGTTTTGCACAACTTACTTTGCCCTCATTTTAGGTTTTTGTTGCATCTACAGGATAAGTTGGATTTAAAATTTTCTCCTTATATTTGTCATACCTTTTTCTTTTACCAATAGCTCCTTTCTGTAATGTTTAAGGATAGTGCACAGAATAACCCAGTGCCAGTGACAGAATATCAGATTTACTTGTTGAGTTTGTTTACTTTCAGGGTCAAGGTGCTGCAGTTCACACAAAGAAAACTCCATGTGAGGAAGACTTCGAAAACTTAAAGCTAATTAGCAATGGAGCCTATGGGTAAAGATTTTCATACTTAAGAAAATAGAGAGCCTAGTGAACCCTATTTCATTTTTGAGAAGAAATGTTTTCTGTAACTGGGAGTATTAATGACATTACCATTGGATATGATTTGCACAATAAAGCAGTGAAATGGAGTTAAAATGACACAACCATTGGCAATCTTTTTGTGGCTGTTCTTGGTAACTACCAAAACATCAATACAATTGAAGTAACTAAAAAATCCAAAGGAGGCTAAATGCCGCATAGACTTAAAACTGGCTCTGCATGAAATCACCTCTGTTGTTATGACCTGGAATTTTCTGTTTTGGATATAACCCAGAAATTAGATCTAAAATTGCACTTGTTCCTACGATTCAAGAAATATTAACCTAACTGTACTGTACAATCGACTGAATTGGTAACTCTGAGTAACCTTCTAAAAACATTGCCATTTTATTAGGATTGTTCTGCTACTTATACCATACAGCAGTTTTTAACTGATGCTATGAATATATTCCAGAGCTGTCTACCTTGTAAGGCATAAGGAAACTCGACAGAGGTTTGCTATGAAGAAAATTAACAAGCAGAACCTAATTCTAAGGAACCAAATCCAACAAGCTTTTGTTGAAAGAGATATCCTTACCTTCGCTGAAAACCCTTTTGTTGTCAGCATGTTTTGCTCGTTTGAGACTAAACGGCACTTGTGTATGGTAATCGAATATGTAGAAGGTTAGTTATTGAATTGTTTATGCGTGTGGTCTGTTTTTGAAAAGTAATAATGTGTCTGTTTTAGAATTGTATTCTTTCTTAGGAGATTTAAAATATGGTATATTATTTTCTGTTTATTATGGAGAACGGGAAAAGGCAGAGGAACTAAACAGTTACTTTGTGCCTTTCTTCATGGAATAATATCAGAAAATCTCCCAGAAACGATAGGCAACCAAGAGACTTGTGTAACTGAAAAGCTATGGAAATTAGCATTAATATAGCGATAGTACTTGGAACATTAACTGGATTGAGGGTTGATGAATCTCCTGGATCAGATGAGCTTCATCCCAGAGTGTTGCTTGAAGTATCAATAGAGATAGTGAATACATTGGTGATTATGCTACTTAATTCTATAGATTCTGGAACTATTCCTACTGACTGGATAGTGGCAAATGTAATCCCACCATTTAAGAAGGGAGGCAGAGGGAGAGTATAGAACCACATATGTGTTAGCTTAATTTTAGTAGGAGGGAAATGCTAGAATCTATTGTAATGATGTAATTGTGTAATATTCAGAGAAGAACAGTAAACTTGTGCTGAGTCAGCAGAGATTTTGAAAGGGAAATCGTGTTTGACAAACTTATTGGAGTTTGTTGAGGACATTACCTCAACAACAGACAAAGGAGAACCAATAAATATTTTGTATTTGGATTTTCAGATGGCTTTTGATAATGTCCCGTACAGGAAGTTAGTAAATAAAATTGGAGTGCATGGGATTAGACGTGATATGCTAGTATTGATTGCGAATTGGTTTACCGTAGGAATAAGGATCATTTTCAGGATAGCAGACTGTTAGTGGAATGCTGTGAGGATTTTAACTTGTTTCTCAAATTGAAATATCTACAGAATCTCAGATATTTTCCTCATGAGTGTGAATATTAATGTTTAAATACAATTATTTGAATCATTTAGTCATAGTGTGACAGCATTAAGTTGATTACCTAAGGGCTTACTGTTAAGCAGTTGACTGGCTAGTGAGTTGAGGGAGTCTCATTAGATTAGTAGAACAAAAATGTTTACATGTTTTCAAAGAATATTTTTTCACTATCTGTGAAATTTGCCTCTGAACTGATGGGCCAATTAGTAAATAAATTGCAGCAGTGTTAGCCAATAGGATCAGTTAGTACTATAGTAACTGCTAATACACTGAACCAAACCTTTAACACCACAGTTCCTGAAACCAGCTACTGCTGTATTAATATTAATGGAACTATTGGCATTTTGATGGTTACAGAAGTTCATAGTTCGGAAGTAGCCACTGAAAATGAAGCATGGAAGCAAATAACTTCTGGACTGTAGGTTGCCCACGTATATGATACAGTGTCACAGACTTTAAAATATGTTAATCTGTTGAACTTGGAGGCATGTGTAAAATTTTATGGTATTTATGTTGTTCATTAAAGGTATATTTTCAAAATCAGATTTCTACCACTGATAACTAATGATGCATTTAAATGTGTCCTTTTTTACATTTTGTACAATAGGTGGTGACTGTGCAACTTTATTAAAGAATATTGGTGCTTTGCCTGTTGAAATGGCCAGGATGTATTTTGCAGAGACTGTGTTGGCTTTGGAGTACCTACACAATTATGGTATCGTTCATCGAGACCTCAAGCCAGACAAGTATGAACTATTGTACTCACTAACTACTACCAGGGTAATAACTTGGGTTTGGGGTACTTTAGTGATAGGCTAATCCTTACAATTACTAAAATCTACAAATCAGCATAATACCTAACAACCACATGATAACAATATAAGTATATGTATATTGGCATTTTTGGGTTCTCAATACAATTGTTTAAGGATACTTAAGAACTATAAAGATTTACAGCATTGAAGAAGACCAGTCTATTTAAGTCCTAAGTCTGTGTACTGGCTCATCACTCAAGTGATCTAAACCAGTCCCATTTTGCTGCTTTCTTTCCATAACCTGAAATATTTCTCTCTTGAAGCATTTTTCCAGTCTACTATTAACAGTTTCGGTGATCTCTTTGTCAACCACTCCCTATGGTAAACCAGTCCATAACAACTGACTCTGTGAAGAAATTCCAAACCCCTCTCCTTGTTGTCTTTGTGACATCACTTTTAACTTGAACACTATCACAAGCAGTCCAACCAGAGGAAATAGTCTTTCCCTAATCATTGTACAAAACCTGTGAAGGACCTCTATGAAATATGCTTTTTTTAATTCTTTCGTCCACTGAAAATAGTTCAAGTACTCAATTGCCAGTATGGTTCGCAATTCCTTGGGCAAACTGTTACAAGTTGCTCCCTGAATATATCGAGGTTACCTTAATTTAGATTCCAACCAAATGAATCTTAATGTTAGGAAATAGCAAGCACTGCAGATGCTGGAAGTCAGAGTCGATACACTATGGAGCTGGCAGAACACAGCAGGTCAGCAGCATCAGAGGAGCAGGAAAGTCGATGTTTTGGGTCAGGACCCTTCATTAGGACTGGGGAGTCGACTTTCCTGCTCCTCTGATGCTGCCTGACCTGCTGTATTCCTCCAGCTCCACACTGTATCAAATCTTAATGTGAATAAAGAGTTGGCTGTTTATGTTGTCTTTTACCTATCCCAGAGCAAGTCATTTTTATGGGTGTAGTTTTCTTCAATTTCTTTGTAACTTAGAACACCACAATGAGTGTTTTTTTTTAAAAGAGAGAAATCAGAATTTGTGTATAAATAGACCAAAGGTAAAAGCTTCTGCAATTGCATAAAAAGGCGAGCAACCGAAGTAAACTTTGCCCCCTCAGTGGATGAGACTAGGAAGTTAATAAGAAAAATGGAAGAAACTTTATTTTACATGTATCTTCAGGTAGAGGACACTAAAAGCATCCCAATAACAGCAGAAAATCAATAGGCTAAGGTGAGAGAAAGCTAATAGGACTAAAAGCTGACTAGCTCATTGGACCTGATGGCTCACAACCAAGGCTGTTAAAAGAAGTGGCTGCGGAAATTGATAGTAATCTTGCAAAATTCCCTAAATTCTGGAAAGATACCGGCAGATTGAGAAACTACCAATATGATGTCGCTCTTCAAGAAAGATAGGAGTCAGAAAGGGGAGATAGTAGCAAAGTAGTAATGACTCAGTATTAGGCTAATGCTTTCGGGTATGAGTTCAAAATTAATTCAATTAATAAAAATAAACATTGGAACTGAAGCTAACCTCAGTACTAATGACCAGAAAACTAGCATTGATTGTCAGAAAAACCTATCTGGTTCTCTGATCTACATGAGGAAAAAGTATCTGTCAACTTTACCTGGCCTGGCCTTCATGTGACTTCTGGCCCAATTCAGCAATATGATCAATTCTAACCTCTGCACTGAAACGATCTAGCAAGACACTCGGCTCGTCCATTTGGAATGGCAACAAACGCTAACGACAATAAATAAATAAAAGCAGAAAACAATGGACCATCATCTGTGATTGGGAAAATGTGAAATATTGGAATCTGTTATTAAGGAAGTAGTAGCAGGACATTGAGGAAAATCTTACCCCTGACTTTGAACTTGGTAGGTTCAAATTTCACTCCAGAAATTTGAGTATTTAATATAGTTAGACAGTGCAATGCAGTATGGAGGGAATGCTGCACTGTCAGAGCTCTGTTTTCCAGACTGATGTCCAACTAAGACTCCATTTCCCCTGTAGCTGAATGTAAAAGAGTCCATGACACATTTCAAAAAGAGCAGAGAATTCCTCACAGTTCCCTATATTTATCTATCAACCAACATCATTGAAAGGATCAAAATGATCAGATTTTTTTGTCATTGTCATTTGTTCTCAAGTGGGCAACTGATTTACTACTTTACAGCTACGACTTTACTGCAAATAGTTCGTCGAACCACAAACATGTCACGGAAATTCCTAGAGACCTGGTTTTCAACCTGTAATGCTATCACCAAACATGTGGAATTAGACCCCGTATACAAACCCATGCAAAAAAGAACCGAAAATGACACAAGCCAACTTAACAGACCAGATCATATAAATTCCAAGCGGAGTAGAACAACATTGCTTCATCAGAGGCCGCATTGATGATGTTACCTAGCATGGTGACAAAACGTCTGTACAATAACCAGCCAGCTCAGCAAGCAAGGCAACCACCTCATCTTAAGTGGTCTAAATGTACTCACCAGGAAGAGTAGTTTCAGATTTTCCACACATGTGTCTGATCAGTTGTAATAATTAGTCAATGTAATTCATACATGAGGGGCAAAACTTCATGAAAACTTATCTTGGCACTCATTCTTCCTTCCCTGTTTCCAAACTCCCCTCATACAGCACCACTTCAAACTTCAGCCCCTTAGCTCTCTTCACCCAAGATACTAACTTCAGTTTATCCTACTGTCCAAAAAGAAAAGTGCTGCTGCTGGCTTTTCTGTTTACATTATCCTCTTGCCCTTTTTGCTCGTAAGTACTACCTGTGGGTCTTTCTTTCAAGTTCTATAGACCACATCTTTCCTCCCTTCATCCTCCCACTCCAGTTTCACACAAATGGCTGTTCCTGGCTCTTTGACTTTATTCCCTTTAAGTAATCCTATTGGAATTGCTTCCCCTACCATTACACCCATCTTGAAAGCATAGGATTCAGCTGCTTCTCTCTCTAGATCCCGTCAAAAGCTCTTAGTCTCTACCTTATTCTTGCTAACCCATACCTTTTGTAAAAGTGATCCTTGTAATGAGTTACACAGGACCAAAATGCTTGTTTTGGCTTTCAGTCTTTGAGATTAGCTTTGAGATGCATTGTGGTTGTTAGTTAATCATTAACACTGTGGTAAACCCCCGTAAATAGCTGGTAAATTCTGACCAAAACCTTCCTACATTCAGCATTGGGCATCCATCCATATTGTTCAAGATTTCTTGTACCAAAATGCATAAGGATATTGCATAAATGCCATATTTAAAGACGCCTGCTATTCCTTACTTCAGCAACTTAATTTGCCCATATTTCTTTGAAATAATGAATCTAGTTGATGCGTATATCAAATGGGTAAGTTTCAAGCCGGACTGGAATGTTTCCTCTCAGACATAGGGGAAAATAAAAATAGTTCATTCAATGTCAATTCCCTTATTAAAAACCAGCTGCATGATTGTAGGTTACATTCACTATTGTCTCTACATTTGTGCTGTAGTCAGATAATTTATGTAATGGAACATCATTGTTTACAATTTTTGACAATCTGTTTTATGTTATAACATTGCTAGTTTAAGTATATAACACCGGATTCTTCCGATTGTTTCAATTACATTAATCTTGCATTCATGAAGAATCATAAATGTTTTGAACATTGGCCTCAATTTATTATAACCATCATATCAAAGTAAGGTTAGATTAATGTCTTGAAATTAATCCACTGTATCTACATGTTATTGATGCATTCACATCTAAGTCTGTTGGTACATTGACAATTTTAAAAGTATTGACAATTTAACACCATTAATTAAATTGAAGATATGTGTGAAGTTTTAGAAGGATTCTGGACCTTTATACAATCATCTAGTACATTGCAAAACCTTTCATATATATATTACCTCTAATATTGACTGAGTTATTTGTTCTTACAGTCTGCTCATCACTTCCATGGGTCACATCAAGCTGACAGATTTTGGACTTTCAAAGATTGGTCTGATGAGCCTCACCACTAATCTATATGAAGGACATATTGAAAAAGATGCAAGAGAATTTCTTGACAAGCAGGTGATGACGGACAATGATTTTCTACTGAACATTTTTGAGTGTTATTATTACTGATCTGTTTTTGTGGCGTTATCACTGTGGAATCCATCTCGTGTTAATCTCAATGTTATGACTATAACTAACCATGATATCCTCTGCTTTATTTTGTTGACTTACCTGTGATTTCTATCCGAAAACTTTGGAGTTGGTAATTTAGTAAGAAACAATATTTCCTTAAAAAATCCTGAATATAATGTACTGAGCATCAAGAAATCAGTTCTGAACAGTCACTAGACCAGAAATGTTATCTCTGCTCTCTCTCCACAGATGCTGCCAGACCTGCTGAGATTTTCCAGCAATTTCTGTTTTAGTTTAAGAAATTGTCCCACTTTGTTGTAAGGAATGAAGTGTTGCTTGAGGCTATCAATCTGTAATCTTAGTGCATTATTAGTTTTCTTCCCGTTAATTTGTCCTCAAGTTGTTTCTTTTAAGTTTTAGTTGATCATGTCTACTTGGAAAATTGTCAAGCATCCATCATTCTGTCTTATCAGGTGACAATTGTCAAATGCTCACTAAATTAATGTCTATGTATCAGTTATCCCATCCTATATATTCCAGCATGATGTAGGATCAGCTCTTTCTTCTTACAGTGAATGGTACACTACATTTTTGTGATGCTTTTTATATATTAATAAACCAGCTAGTTTATTGAACTGTTTCATTTTCTGAAAATGAGTGGTTAGAAAATCTCCTAAAATGAATGTTTTGTTCATTTCTTCATGTTAACGTTTGCTAAACTGAAAAACCTTTTGCTGAGCTGTAGATTTTATGAATGAGGATTTATATGTATGGAGATATAAGCTTTATAAAAACAGGACTTTTTTTGTCTTGACAAAGGTATGTGGAACTCCAGAATATATCGCTCCTGAAGTGATACTGCGGCAGGGTTATGGAAAACCAGTGGATTGGTGGGCCATGGGTATAATCCTGTATGAATTTCTAGTCGGATGTGTTCCTTTCTTTGGAGATACTCCAGAGGAACTGTTTGGACAAGTGATAAGCGGTACATAATATTTTGGATTTTTAGTCTTCTTTACACCAACTATGATTTGTGGAGAACTTTAGAGAAAAGCAGCAAATAAATCCTTCAGTCTTAAGTTGCTTCTAGAATCCTGAAGCTTTGTTGATTTTGAAGTGATAATGACAGTGAAACTGCTGACCTCTGACATTATGACATTACTGAAAGCAACAGTAGCTTCAGGATTCTGCTGTATGACTCTGTGCACAGACCACCACAGAAATATGGAGCTGTCAGTGATTCGCTGCTCAACGAGGTGTGCTCTAGATTGGCAACCCCTCAACAACCAGTAAATTTAGAAAGAAATCCAATTTATTGTTGTTTGTCTTGCTGTAAAACCTTTGACAAAGTAAGTAACTTGAGTTTTTCAACTGCACTCAAAGTTCATGGGTATAGTTCAGCACCCTCACTGGCACTGACAAGCTGGTTTTAATTTTATGGAAATCCTAATTTCCCCATTATGATCAAAAAACAAAATTCCACAATTATACCAGCTTTTTAAATTTGCTTTTAAAGTTAGTTTATATTTTAGCTTCTATCTTATTTCAGTCAAAATTGATCTCACAACCTGAAAATTTAAATTAGAAATTATTATTGTTTGTCGTTTTAACTTCCTGCATTGCTGTCTCTGAGAATATTTTTGAATGATTACAAGCAGAGCAAGCAGCCTGACATTATTGCTGCTGGATACATTGTTCAGGAGGTCCCTTGACTTCGTAGCTGGTTTTAAACTTCCTTGATTTGGTGCCAGGAAAGATGAAATCCACGCCACAGACATTGTTCTTCTTGGGCAACTTCCATCAATGCTGTTGCTTTACAGTTGACTTCAAAGGTCAATGGTTATTTCTGCAGTGGAAGTCAAAATCCCTTTAGACTGTTCATTGTCATCCAAGAAAAATTCCAGTTTTCTAATTGTCTTAGGGTAGTCTATCCACTAAGTGCAGTTATTGCTGCTTTATTTTAGGCACACACAAAAATGATTTGTGCATTATTTTAATAAAGTTGTAAATCTAGTTTTAAATGTCTTAACAACTTGTTAAAGTATTGGAAATAATAGTTTAGTACAAGTGTGTTTAACAATGTGTTAGAATAATATTGAGTCAATTTTACATACAATTACTTTGAAATTATACTACAGAGACAGGTGGTGCTAATCCTCCAGGCAAGCAGTAGTCTTAACTCATGTGCCCACCCTGTTCCCGTATCCTTTTATTACCAACTCCCTCAACCATCTATGTTATCGATTTTTAAATGTTAACTTGGTTTCAGTTTTAATCTGTAACACCAGTAGAACATTTCACATTCACAGAACCTTTTATTTTTAGCATTTCTCCTACCTTCAGTGCTAATTTTCTTGTAATTAATCTTGTATTTGGGTCCCAATTTTGGTCCCCATCTTTCGAATGGACTATTCAGTTATTTTCAGATGGTATGGAAAAGTGTGAGCAATGCATGACGTAAGATTGACTTCCCTGGGCCTTCGCTGTCTCTCTCTCAATCTCTCGCTCGCTGTCTCTCACTCGCTGTCTCACTCTTGCTCTCTCTCCCTCTCCCTGTCTGCAAAACAGAAAACTGAGAGGGGATTTGACAGAAATGTTTAACATTATTAGAGGTTTGTAAAAATTTGAACTAAATAGTTTTTCCTTCTGAGATATTTGTAATATTGATAGTCACAGGTGAGGTGCTGGAAGACTGAAGGTTGGCTAACATTAGGGATAACATTACACCTATACCTGGGGAGGATATTCCTGGGACTATGTCCAGGGAAATTATTCGGGTGAAACTGAGAAATAAGAAAGGAATGATCACCTTATTGGGATTGTACTATAGACCCTCCAATAGTCAGCAGGAAATTGAGAAACAAATTTGTAAGGAGATCTCAGTTATCTGTAAGAATAATAAGTGGTTATGGTAGAGGATTTTAACTTTCCAAACATAGGCTGGGACTTCCATAATGTTAAGGCTTGGATAGAGAGGAATTTGTTAAGTGTGTACAAGAAATTTTTCTGATTCAGTATGTGGATGTACAAATAGAGAAGGTGCAAAACTTGACCTACTGTTGGGAACTAAAGCAGGACAGGTGACTGAGGTGTCAGTGGGGGAGCACTCTGGGGTTACTGACCATAATTCTATTAGTTTTTAAAATAGTGATGGAAAAGGATAGACCGGATCTAAAAGTTCAAGTTCTAAATTGGAGGAAGGCCAACTTTTGCGGTTTTAGGCAAGAACTTTCAGAAGTTGACTGGGAGCGGATGTTCACAAGTAAAAGAACAGTTGGAAAATGGGAAGCTTTCAAAAATGAGATAACAAGAGGCCAGTATGTTACTGTTAGGGTGAAGGGTAATGCTGGTAGGTATAGGGAATGCAGGATGACTGGGGAAATTGAGGTTTTGGTCAAGAATAAGAAGGAAGCATATGTCAGGTATAGACAGCAGAAATTGAATGAATCCCTAGAACAGTATAAAGGCAGTAGGAGTATACTTGAGAGAGAAATCAGAAGGGGACATGAGATAGCTTTGGCAAATAGGATTAAGGAGGGATTCCAAAAGGGATTCTACAAATACATTAAGGACAACAGGGTAACTAGGGGTGAGAATAGGGCTCCTTAAAGATCAGCAAGGTCATCTATATGTGAACAAAAGAACAAAAAGAACAAAGAAGGAAAGCATAGGAACAGGCCCTTTGGCCCTCCACCCTGTGCCGATCATCATGCCCTGACTAAACTAAAAAACAAACCTTCTGCCTGTGTTTGGTCCGTATCCCTCTATTCTCTCCCCATTCAGGTAACCATCCAGATGCCTGTTAAAGATGTGGAACTGCAGAAGATGGCGAGATTCTAAACAATTATTTTCCATCAGCGTTTTCTATAGAGAAAGATTTGGGAGCTAAAGAACATGGGGAAATAAATAGTGACATCTTGAAAAATGTCCATATTACAGAGGAGGAGTTGCTGGACATCTTAAAATGCATAAAGGTGGATAAATCCCCAGACCTGATCAGGTGTACCCCAGAACTCTGTGAGAAGCTAGGGAAGTGATTGTTGGGCCCTTTGCTGAGATATTTGTATCATTGATAGCCATAGGTGAGGTGCTGGAAGACTGGAGGTTGGGTAACGTGGTGCCACTATTTAAGAAAGGTGGTAAGGGAAAGCCAGGGAACGATAGACCCGTGAGCCTGACATCAGTGGTGGGCAAGTTGTTGGAGGGAATCCTGAGAGACAGGATTTGCATGTATTTGGAAAGGCAAGGACTGATTAAGAAAAGTCAATATGGCTTTGTGTGTGGGAAATCTTTGAAGAAGTAATGACGAGGATTGATGAAGGCGTTCAACAAGGTTCCTCATGGTAGACTGGTTAGCCAGGTTAGATCACATGGAATAGAGGGAGAACTAGCCATTTGGATACAGAACTGGCTCCAAGGAAGAAGACAGAGGGTAGTGATGGAGGGTTGCTTTTCAGACTGGAGACCTGTGACCAGCGGTGTGCTCCAAGGATCAGTGCTGGGTCCACTGCTTTTTGTCATTTATATAAATGATATGGACGTGAATATAGGAAGTATGGTTAGTGAGTTTGCAGACGACACTTAAAGTGGAGGCGTATTGGACAGTGAAGAAGGTTACTTCAGAGTACAACGGGATCTTGATCAGATGGGCCAATGGGCCAAGGAGTGGCAGATGGACTTTTAATTTAGATAAATGTGAGGTACTGCATTTTGGAAAGGCAAATCAGAGCAGGATTTAGACAGTTAATGGTAAGGTCCTGGCGAGTGTTGCTGAAAAAAGAGACCCTGGAATGGAGGTTCATAGTTCCTTGAAATTGGAGCCGCGGATAGACAGGATAGTGAAGAAGGTGTTTGGTATGCTTCCCTTTATTGGTCAGTGCATTGTATATAGGATTTGGGAGGTCATGTTGCAGCTGTACAGGATATTGGTTAGGCCACTTTTGGAATACTGCGTGCAATTCTGTTCTCCGCGCTATAGGAAGGATATTGTGAAACTTGAAAGAGTTCAGAAAAGATTTACAAGGATGTTGCCGGGGTTGGAGGGTTTGAGCTAGAGGGAGAGGCTGAATAGGCTGGGGCTGTTTTCCCTGGAGCTTCGGAGGCTGAGGGGTGACCTTGTAGAGGTTTATAAGGGGCATGATAGGGAAAATAGACAAAGCCCTTTCGCTGGGTGAGGGAGTCCAAAACTCGAGGACATAGGTTTAATGTGAGGGGAAAGATTTAAAAGGGACCTAAGAGGCATCGTTTTCACGCAGAGGATGGTGCGTGAATGGAATAAGCTGCCAGAGGAAGTAGTGGAGGCTGGTAGAATTACAACATTCAGAAGGTATCTGGATGGGTATATGAATAGGAAGAGGGATGTGGGCCAAATGCTGGGAAATGGGACTAGATTTATTTAGGATATCTGGTCGGCATGGATGAGTTGGACCAAAAGGTCTGTTACCATACTGTACATCTCTATGACCCAAATAACTAAAGGGATACTTGCACATAATTGGAATTCAGTGTTGAATGTGCAATGGCATTGTCTGCTGACAGCAACTGTAGGCAACTAAGCATGAGCGCTCATTCGAGAATGCACTGCTGCCGTCACATAGACTTTACAAGTGACGTCACATGCAAATGGACAGAGAATTGTGAGATGTTGAACTATGGTTCATTGGAGAGATGGTGCTCAGGCTGGAGGGGGAACCTCAAAGTGAGAAGGAGGAGGGCCCAGAAGTGGGGGTGGGGTGTGAGCTGAAGAATACTGTCACTGGATAGACCAGATAAACCAATATCTCTCCTGCCTCTAACGGTTACTGTGTATATTGTGCTATGTTCCAAAAGATAGATTTCAATGATATAAATAAGGAAAATCTAAGTGTGCTGTCTAAATAAAAACCAAAAGAACTGC